CGATTTTTATTTTTTTGTTAATTTTTGAGGCAATGAAACATAGAGCTTTGGGCAGGGTAAACCCGGGTGAAGATGCAAGGTAAGTGCTGCTCATGACGGGCCAACCTCAGCCAACTGGCTGACAAAAGGAAAATTATTAAACGACTTAAAAATGAGAGAGAGAGTCAAACTATGAGAATAACACCGAAAACGCCGCGAATAAATATAATAGTTGGAAGGGTCAGAATAATGTACGAGAACGTGACGGTTAGCTGGTATAGCGATCGTCCGATTGAGCATTGAGTGTTTAAATACATTCGGCAAATCAGCGGAAAAATCCGGGGGAACTGAGTCAGAATCGTTGTGCCGTGATTCGTGATCGCTCAGTACGTAGTAGAATATCCCCTGAAACAGGACTACCCACGGGTTTTCTTTCGTCCGTGATTGCGAGGAAGGTGCTTCCTTTGAATTGCCGTGCTTGTTCAAAATTCCGTAAATCGTACGTATGATGTTTATACATGCCAAACCAGTTGAACCTTCAACCTCACACTCTTCCGTTTCCAATTGGCCAATAATGGTACGTATTTGTGATCCTTAACCCGCGCATTATGTTTTATTTTTTATTTGTCTACTCTATTCCTAGTCAACCTTGTCTGGATTGCTGATAATTAAATGGCCAGATAAAAATTTCCCTCTCTATGAAAACGTCGAAATAATATTTTTATATGGTGGACAATCAGTCGTTTTTAAAATTTAATACGCTATCTCATGAGAAATTCATTATTCAATAATGAAGTTAAAGATATATGGTTGAAAAGCTTAACGATTCCTACACGCGTTTAAAAAAAATAAAATAAACGGGCTGCCACCGATACTTACTTTGACCGAGATTTTTTGGCCATTGAAACAGTATTTTTTTAATATTTAAAAGAAGAGTAGAACAGTTCTGCATAAAAAGGAAGTGAAAAATTGTTCTTACATAAATGTAACCTGTGAGTGTAGTTGTAACGGTATTAACTATTTAATCATAACATTATCCATGCGATAGGTATGGTTTTACCCACTCGCCCCTCTTATATAGGGAAAGGATTATCTGTGTGAGACTGGCCCGTGTGAGGAGGCAAATGTTCACCTCACAAGGGAAAAATTACATCTATATATATAGCAAGGAAAATTTATAACCTTGCACTTTATATTTTCAATATTTTAAACTCTTTAGATTTAATAAAAAATATTTGAAAGTTCAAAGTAAAACTTTACAGCAATCTTCTCTATATTTTGGTCAAAAAAATCATAATATATTTTGCTCAAATAAAAATATGTACAATTTTATTCATGTTATTATATTTTTTGTCTGATGTAATTAATTTTTTTAAAAATATTATATTATTTTTAAATTATATTTTCCTACACCCTCAACTCAAGTCTTGGCTCCGTGTGGGGAGAGGTTTTAGAAGTTTTACATGACCTGTCAGACTCATATCTTTGTCTTTATTTTATTTTCTTGCGCCCACTTGGACAGTTGGACTGCAGGTCTGTGCGCAGCAAATCAGGGGGACTAATTATGCAATGTGGACAGATAAAGCCTAAATTTTCAGTTCAGCGACTTCAATTTGCTAGGCTCTGCTAAAAGACACCATTAATCTTGAATAAGAAAGGTGTGCTGTGGTGAACCAACCGAACATTATACCAAATTTTGATACATCTCGTTGCAATCCCCGACAAGTATCTAAAGACGAGTGAAGTTCGATATAGACACATACATAACATAGCTATTGATGTTTTTTATGAAAAAATCTATAGCAAATTATACGGCTCGCAAAAGCTAAAAAGCGGCAAATAATATAGAGCAGCTCACTTTTCTTTTTTCAATACATAACGTGATTCGTTATGCTCTATCCATGGATTTGTCATTAACTGTAAAATAATAAGTAATGAGACAATTGACAATGCACAATACTAATTCATCATTCAAACATTTCATAACGAACATGTAAAACACATTTATACTCTATATTTAAATAACAAATATGTATATTTATGGGGCAGGGAGAGAGAGAGAGATTCGGTGGGCCATGAAGGTACCGGAATGACGTTGTGGGCTAAGACGCGAGAGTTATGATGGGCTCAGGGGCAATCCAAAGGCTACAGTGTAAAGACAAATATACAAGAAAAGAGAAAATGGAGGCCTGAGTTTGAAGCGTGGGGGCTAAGGAAGTAAAGCGTGAGATTGAAGAATTATGATTAAGAGGGTGCGCATGTACCTTGCAATTATTAGTATTTCAGCAATTTTGATTATTTGATGGGTAAAGCCATGGCACGCGCTATCAGTGTAGCTCACGTACGTTTGCCTTTGTTTATACTTTATATATTGTATCTCCTAAACACCCAAGCTTTGCTTCTGTACTTGCAACCACGCAACCCCCCATGCCTTACTTGTTCCACTTTCTTCCAAGATACTCGTCCCTCCATGGCTCCATCTCAATTCTCCTTTCTTCATTTCATTTCATTTCACTTTCCCCTTTTCTTCTTCCCAACATCTATATGTATCTTAATTGCAAGATGATTATTACTGCTATGCAATCCACTCACAACGTCACAAATCTATGATTTTCATGTACAGGCGGAGGACTTCTTTCTTATATCATCTTCTTCTGTTATGTTATTGTTGGAAAAAATCATATACGTACTCGTCATGTTCCAATTTAATGACCCGATTCTAAGGATGCATACAATTTTCCCCGAGTTTTCTTCTGAATTTACGTTAATCTCATATAAATTCAATTGCATCACGGGCCGGCTTAATACTGCCTCTAATTTATTGCATCGGCATTAGTTGCCATAGCTTGTTGGTAATCTATCCTTCCAAATGTAGACAGAAATTATATCAGACATGATTCTTCATGTCTAATCTTGATTTAGAAACAACCGAAATGTCAATTTTAAATTTGCGAAAGGACGCATTCTTAGTTATTATTTGAGAGACCTGTACTGCATGTCTAATAATCTTATTAATTCATGAACAAATGAAATTCAAATTTAAAATTGAACGAGGACAAAATGCCTTGGCAATTATTGTCTCACAGGCATGCTTATACGGTTAAACCATGTTCACCTGGCCTGCAACTCCCGAGCCAAATCATATTAATCATTTGTTCAAAAACTACCGGAGCTCTATTGAAACCAAAAAAAAAAAGAAGGAAAAATAGTTCAAATGGGCCCTGTTCTCCTTTCTTTGACACGTCTTAAAAAACAAAAGAAAACGAACAAGAGATATTTGAAAGATTCAGACTTTGAGAGGCGGTAATGCTAAAGTTAATCCAATTAACCCTTGAACTTTGTGGAGGAAATAAAAATCCATGTCGGCTTATACAGCCGTACAGCTAAGCCAAATCACATATCCAACGCAAGATGGTTGAAAATTTGGGTACAAAATCAAGTGGTTCAATTGTTTTTAGCATTCTCCGTCCGTGTTATAATTCTTCGTCACTGTCATGTCAGCTTGGAGCTCGTGCTGGATCTTCCCGATCTCATGTTCCATTTTTAAAAGTACACCTTCTTAAAATGAGAAAATTAAACTCTGATTCTGATCACAACGCCACAAGTTACCAGCATAATTATCTACGAGCGCTTCCAATAAGTACTAGCAATAACTCTGACTCTGACTCTCCATGCACATGTGATCGGACGGTCGACTCGCGCGCTTGTTTCTCTCTCAAAATCGGCGGCCCTGATCAGCTTGTCCTCAATGAAAAGCTTCAACAATCAGGGTACGTAGCATATATTTATACGATCCTTCCTATCCCTTGACATCAAATGGTATTACCATATTTATTTGTCCCAGGCTCGTTTATCTCTCTTCCTCTTCCTTCTCTGGCTTTCATACCCTGTTTCTCGCAACCAATCCCTCAGCAATGTCTAGCTCCAGAAAGAAGCTTTTTTTCAACACTGTGTCCGTCGACCTGGGCTGCGGCAGTTGCAGGAAACCAAGGATTTCTCTTTCTCACATACTCTACCCCAAGACCAAGCCTCGCAAGCCAACTAACCAAAAGCCCCCGCTTCACAACTATTGTTCTTCAAGCTCCTGGGACAACGACACCACCACCTCCATATTCTCTCCTTACGGCAGCTCTTCTCAGTTTTCCAGCTGCGACAACACCGCGAGGGCACCGAAGACGGTGAGGGGTCTGGGCAGGGTGGGAGGCCAAGGCGTGGCGGTGGAGAAAGATTCCGACGACCCTTATTTGGACTTTAGGCATTCCATGCTCCAAATGATATTGGAGAACGAGATTTACGCCGCGGATGATCTCAGAAAGCTTCTGCAGTGCTTTCTTCTGCTCAATTCCCCGCACCACCATGGGGTTATTGTCAGAGCTTTCACGGAGATCTGGAATGGGGTGCATTCTGTGAAGCCCAGCTCACCCAAGCTTTGCTTGTCGCGCAAGTCACGTGAGTCCTAAGTTGCCCACGTGCTCACTAGTTTGTATAAATCTTTGCTCTCTCAGATTTCAACTTGTTCAGAGACTTCCAATCTACGCTTGCTTGTGTCATCCAAATGTAAAAAGAAGCCTTTAATCTTCACTTCTGTAACGTTTAACCAGATCATCAGTAACTTTCTTCGTCATTCCTAACGAAGAACCATGGGGGAATTTCAGTAAATTACGGGGTGACGTTATATATTCATTCTCAGAATTAGTGCTGCAGGGAAACTGAATTCTGGTCCCATATATGACCTGGAGGTTTTGAGTGGGAAGGGGATATAGGCGTTGGGATTGGGCTTACAATAATTAGAATGGCCTGAGTGAGGAGGGACAGTTGGTTTAATGCTCTTCAAGCAAATGAGGATCGAAATTTGTGTGGACATGGTGCATTTTCCAATGCTTGCATTAAACTTTGGCTTGTTGCATGTCCACTGGCTAGCTTGCTACTAAAAGTACACATGCATTTATTTTATTTCATCAGCATTCATTTACTGTAATGCATGCACTGATACCATTTATCATACGAAGTTGCAGGCTGGCTGCTTTATTTGAATATTTGTAATTAAAACCTGTAAAGAGAGGTAGGTTGCAATGAATCAATAAGGCCATTGAACACGTACACCAGGAAGCATTCTTATGGGTTACAGTGTCTTTTTCTCGATGTCAAAAGATGCATCCCGGCGGAGATCACTCGCTGGAGTTAAAAGGAGACGGGATGCTGATTTTAGCTAATAGGGATATATAATGGTATAATGCGAATAACTCTTAATTGCAATGATTAATTTTTCCACCTTTTGGATAAACATATGCCAAGTTGAACTAAAATAAATCATGTTTTAAAGAATATTTCAAGAGATGAAAAGGGAGGATTTTAGTTAAGAACAACTGTAGAGAATTAATTTAAGTTTAAGGCATAATAATTGAAGGGTATTTTAATTTTTTTCATTGTTGAAAATTTTTTTATTTTTCTTTTCTGTATTGAACTAAAATTTTTTAAAAAAATTGAACCCACATAAAATTAATTCTCTATAGTAGTCCTTAATAAAAATTCTCTAAATGAAAAATAGAGCAACTCATCAAGACCTGTTTAGCTTTCACAATTTGTGTATGCTATGAAATGCAGAGAACGAATGAACAATTGTCTTTGAATTTAAAAGGAAATTTTTTTAAATGGTGGGAAAATTAAACTCATACCTCAAATACTGAGAACTTTCCTGTCTTTGCCTTATATACTAGCTCAAATTCATATCTTTTAATTCATGCATACACTAGAAACTATATCATACATAAGGATAACATGATTTCTTTGAACATGTGGTCATATGGCAGGGTGAAAATCTTCAATTCTAGATTGTATGGCGGAAACACGAAGGGTCGTCATTCAAAGTCAGAAGCAGATCTTTATGACAACTCAATCTGTGATAAAGATATATGACAAACACATCAACAAGCAAGCCAACCAACATTAGCTAGCCTCGTAAATTCCCTTAAAGTCTTGCCATGAAGAGTTGAAGACCAACATATTGAACGCTACCATGGCAAGTATATAGCTCCTGTGATCAATAAATATGACACTTGATTCACTTTAATTATCATTTTAGTCAGATTTACACTTTATCTACTGCCTCTTCAAATAGACTGCCTGATTGAAAGTCAATTGAAGTTGGACTAAAGCTTTTAAAAAGAGTTAATGTCCATTGACATGCATCTAATTATCTGTTACGTTTCTTCCAAGTGGACAGTTAAACAGGCCTTTACTAGCAAAGAGGGCTTTTATTGCGATGGCAGAAGATGTATGCTAGCATATCCTGTTTCATCTAGTGACAACACAAAACTTAGTAGGCATTTAAAAGGTCAATATCTAAATCTGCATTTTGGTTATGAATCTTCTTGTCCAACCTAATCAATATATTCCCTCCGTTTTTATATATAAGGAAAAACAATTGTATTATACAATTTAAAAAAGTTATTTAATCATAATAATTATGTCTAAAAATAAAAAAAATTAAACTAAAATGCCCTATATTAATCAGCATAAGCATACATTAATTATTTCTCGTTAATGTAAATCATGAGGGGTGATTTAAAAAATGTGTAATAAATGCTTGTTGAAATATGTGATGTTGCTTATATAAAAAAAAGTAAAAAAAATGATAATTTCCTCTATAAATAGAAATAGAGGGAGAAGCTTCATTGTTAGAAGACAAAGTTGTGATAATATTATCAAAGCTCAAGAAATCATTCACTCTATGAGGAAAAGGAAAGGCATAAAAGGTTTTGTTGCGATTAAAGCAAATATGAAAAAAGCTTATGATAGATTAGATGGGCAATTTCTATAGAAGACCTTTTGCAGACTATGATTTAATCTGAATTTTGTTCATGTTTCTTTAGTTTCGATGAGAGTTCTTTGGAATGGTGAAGAAATACAGGGATTCTCCTCCACTAGAAGAGTCAGACAGGAAGATCCTTTTCGCCTTTATCTATTTGTTTTATGCATGAAGAGATTGGGCCATTTAATCTAAAGACAAGTTAATTTCAAGAAGTGCAAACCTGTGAGAATTAGAGGTGAAGGGCATTGTATATTCCACTTATTCTTTGTTGATGACCTTGTCCTCTTTATTAAAGCTTTTAAAAATCAAATGAATTTCATTAGGGAAGTTATGACCAAATTTTGTATTGCTTCTGGTCATCGAGTTAATCTTGACATGTCTAACGTCTACTTACATAAGAATATCAATTTCAACCATGCTAAGGAATTGAGTGATAGCCTTGGGATAGGAATCATAGCTGTCTTGGGGATATACAAGGTCTTGCTCATACATGGTATGGCTACTTGTTCAACTTATTCCCTAATTGTGCAAAAGGTTTCAAATTGTCTCTCCTCTTGGAAAGGTAGATACCTGTCTTTAGCTTGTAGAATTGTTTTGATTAAATCTATTTTATCGACTTTACCTAGCTATCAAATGCAAACTACTCTTCTTCCTAAAGGGGTGCTTAATGAAATTGAAAAAAATCAATAGGAATTTCTTTTAAAACTGACATAGGGAGGGTAGGAACTCCACCTAATTGCTTATGAAGCAATGAAATTAGATAAAGAGAATGGGGATTTAGAATTTAAAGTTCTTTATAAGAAAAATTTAGCTTTTATCATGAAACTTTGTTGGGGATTACTTACCAAACCTGAATTTCTTTAGGTTAGGGTTCTCAAGGCTAAATATAAATGTGGAAAGAATATTTTCCCTTTGTTATAAACAATAAGAATTCTTTTTTGGTTTGGAGTAGTATTATCACGGTTTGGGACAGATTTAGAGGTATTGCTAGGAGAAAAGTTAACAATAGTAAGAGTATCATGTTTTGGTGGGACTTGTGGACCCCGTTGAGGGAACCCCTCATCAATTTTGTTAATAAAAAGCAACATTAGCTTCAGCCTAAGGCTATTGTGGATCTATTTGTCCAACCTAATGGGGAATGGAACATTAATGAATGTCTAAAATTTTTGCTTGATGGGATTGTATATAACATTGTGAAGTCACTCTTATTAATCCACAATTATCTTCAAAATCAAGATAATCATAGGACTAACTCGATTGAATTACTACATTTGTAAAATTTACATAAATGAGATCCCAAGTTTTTAAAACTTAAAATGCTTAAAAAATCATTTTATAAACAAAAATAAGAGAAAACATGCACAAGGAAGCATGGATATCATATAAAGTAAGATAACATCAAATTGGAGTCAAAAGAGCAAAAGTAGTGATTTTCCATAATACATTGTAGTATAAAATCTTATATTGTGGCATAAAATGTAGAAGTCCATGACAACAAAAAAAACTATCAAGACTCATGACAAATTTTCTGACGAAACTTTTAATGCACCCTAAATCTTGTTAGATATTCGATTGAGGTAATTTAGGTCTCTACAGAAAGCTTTCTTCAAGCTCTAACTAACAGAAATAGTTTAACATTCAAATTATTTCTCCATCAAAAGTTAGATATCAAAAGTAAACTTATACATTTATGCTTTTAAAACATAACTAAGGTGTCCAAAATTACATCAAATGCCATAAGCTCACAACTACCATTAGACTACATTCAATAGACTTAACAATAACATGTACAATTTCAACACTTAACCCCTAATTTCATAAATCATAAGGGGAAGGCAATTATTGTACAAATTATCCATATTCATCAATAACAACTTAAAATACACTTTATACTACTTGCACAAATATTTTAATCATATATAAAGTTTTACAATCATAATTCACTAACCCAAGGTAAAAAATATAAGTTGTACACAATAATAATGCAAGTAGCTTAAAACAATTATATGATTCCTAGTTGGAAAATTAAAAACATTAATACACATAAACAACATAATGAGGCATACAAATAAAATTTACTCTATAATCTTAAGTCTTAGCACATGTCCCTCGATCTAGATCCGATAAGTTAGGCCCTGTAAATATTGGAGAAAGAGGGGTGAGTAGAACCACTCAATAATCAAGTTTTACCTAATCTATATAGTTGCATATCAATTAAAAACAAATGCTACTAGTAATAGCACACATAAGTTTTTCACATATATAACAAACATAGCCATGATCATAACAATAATAACCATGTAACAAGGTATTAAACACATATCATCATGTATTTACCAATTATGCATAATATGGGGTTGCAAAACTAACAACCATGCTCCTTTAACATATACCAGACCATAATAATAACAGTCATGTAGTCGGATCAACATGCATGATCAAATGCAAGCTTTATACTCTCCTGTTACCTTCGACATAAAATTGGTAGCTATTAAGTGGCTACATCTGTTTCGAACTAACTCAATCTTTCACTTATAAGGAGCTATCGAGTTAGGGTTAACTCACTCACTTGTCTACCACTGTTTTCCTTAACACTAACAACCATGGGGTGTTATACCCTTAATCTAGCCTTCTCATAAATCGATGGAGACTAGTTAGATTTGAGTCCCTTATAAAATAAGTAAGATAGTCTCGAATGAACCATAAGACAAAAGCTACCTCTCAATTCTAACGTTCAGTGCCAGGGTAAGCTTTCAATTTCAATGGTAAGCCATGGTACTATATGGGTTTGTCAATAGACTTCTCTTCCTAAGCAAATTTTCGCCAATAATCATGTTATACACATATATAACAAGTTGTATGCAGTTAATACATAATGTTTCAATTATATCATGTGTATAAGATTCTCTCCTTCCACTATTCTCCACATGCCATTAAACACATAGCCATGCTCTCAACTATGATCATCATTCATACATGTAAAACATGCATATTGTTTATAATCATTCAACATAATTTTAAAACATGCTAAATTTGCATCAAAAAGTTCAAATATTACTCATGTTTTCAAAACAACAATTTCAATCAATAAGTAATTAATATTCAATCATACAAATTAGGTTTTTTTCCTATTACCTCAACCTTTGAGAGGTTAAAGGTTTACCCCTCAATAAAAGTACCTTACAAGCTATACCAAAACTTGAATGGTGCACAAGATGATTAATCTATAATCAATCATACTAATCATCATTCATATCATCATAACCACTCTTCCAA